TGGTAATTTTTTTTATATTGTAAAAATATTCAGAATGATAAGTGATTATATAAAGGTATATTGTTATTAAACAGACAATCAAGAATGTAAGGGAATTAGGTTTATTGAAAAGAAAGAAACATTAATCGCAACTGAATATATGTTGTAAAATGAAAATGAGGTATTTAGTTATATTAGATGGGAAATCTGTGATTGTAAACGTAATTGGGAATATGGATGCAAAAACACTTGTAACCAAACGACATGCTGTATGTAATGGATGAGAATTTTTTTATGTTGGTTTTTTTATGTTTAAAAATTAAAAAAAACATGTTTAAAAAATCCATGAGCCATGTCATCGAAACTAAGTGCTTTTTTAAAATAAAATAAAAATCCTCTTTACATTAAACCTGCTCATTTATCCGAAAATACGCCAAAGGACCATTTTATTGCAGGCCCTTTAAAAAATTAAATTAAATTAAAAGCCAGCAAGGTGAATCTGTTTTAAGGTATTCCTAGCGGAGGAAGCACCCAAATATATATGATCATCATAAATATGTTTTCTTCCCCAAACCCCCAAAACCTTAGACTGTCTATTGCTGACCTCACCCCATTCCTAAGAGGTCTGTAAGGGGGTGTGCATAAACTCACCTGCCTACAATCCCTGTCCAAATATTCCCTTGTCCTCCTATTCTTTTCATGTATTCATAATCATGTTTATATGATTATATTTTGTATCTAACTCATGCTTGACGAAAATAAATAAATAAAATGTTCTTAATGGTTGGCCTGTCCCTCTGCAAGGCCCGGCGAATAATACAGGTTGAAGGATCTCCTCGATCAATCCTGCAATCGTCCATTGGCTAACCGGAGAGTTTCATCAAGGAAACTGATGCATCTCAGAGACCATTTTCATCTCCGGAGCCAAGATCTATTATGATCGTTGCCTTTTTGGGAATGTTAGGCTTCCCCGCCTGCAGGGTGCGTTCCAGAGGAAATCCTGGCTCTTGGGAAGGTTGTTTTTCCCCCCTGGGCTTTGCACCTCGCACCGCTGCAGGGGCAAAATCCAAAAAGAACCTGCCCCCTTTCCGTGCCCCTTCCCTAACTCTGGATCAAGGCTCCTTCCACGCTGGGAATCCGGCGCATCTCAACCCCGCGGGGTGGGAGCGAGCCGGCCGCGAATCGGCGCAACAGCTGGGAAATCCCCCCCCCCGCCTCTCTCCAATTCGCCTCTGGGCGCGCAGCTGCCTCTGTCAGGCTCTCTTCCCCGCCTCGCGCAAGCGCCACAACCGGGCGCGCTGCGGGAGGATGCTCTGCGCCCGGTGAGCTGTGCGCCTTGCGGCTCCGCGGGCCAGAGGGGCGCATTAAGGCGCGCCGCCACCGCCATGCGCCACGCCTTGGCTCCGCAGCGCTCCAGTGCCACCCCGCTCTCCACTTCGGCCGGTGAGTGGCTGGCAGGGCGGTCCGGGACGGGAGGCAGAAGGGCGGCCGGGCAAAAGGAGAAGGGCGAGCGCCCCGCGGGGCCCTTTCTAGCGCGCCCAGGCGCCATGCGTAATTGGAGAGGTCCGGCTCGGCGCAGCCTTTGGGGTCTCCCCGGACAGCTGGAGAGGTGGGGAGATGGCTGCAGGGCGAGGGGAGCCCGGTTCAGCCTCTCCCCTTTCCCTTCCTTCCTCTCCCCCCCTCCCCAAATTTCCACGAGACCCTCTTCCCTTCCCCCACTTCCAAATAGGGAGAGGGTTAGATCTCCGGATTTGGAGCGGCCGGCCTGAACTGGAAGGGGTTCCCGGTTAAGGAGTAAGGGTGGTATCAGTAACCCCACACATTGAAGCTATGGTGGAAGAATGAGTGGTTTTCATAATATTGAAGGACAATGCCTAGGAAGAAATGACAACTACAGGACGCAAAGAAAGGTTATCTATGTTTAAATGAATAAACGGGGAAATGTAAAAGAAATAGGAGATGAGATCAATATTGTCGAAGTTGGAAGATAAGAATTTCGCATACTGTTTGTATTATTATTATTAATGTTGCCCAGAAAAAAAGATTGGACCCACTATATGCACTGTCCACAAATTGTGTATATTTATTACTGGAAAATAAAATTAAAAAAAAACTATATGCAAAAAAAAAGGAGTAAAGGTGGCAATGGACCTCTTGCATAGTGGGGTGGGGGGAGAGAAAAGAAATGGGGGCAAAAGCCCCCTCTGTGCCCCTTGGAGCTTTCCCAGGAAATTCAGGATAGTACCAAGAAATGATAAGCATTTCAAAGAAAGGGGGAGGATTTACTGACCAATTTTACTGGTCAGTAAAATTGAAAGCACCTGGATGAAAGGTGACCCACCCCCCTCCCTTCGGAAACACGGTTCTTTCCTTTCCTCCCAGTTAGAATCCAGTTGCTTCAAATGATCTCTCCTTCCTTGGTTTCCTTTTGGAATGGTAAAAGGAGACCCCCCCCCCCCCGAGTTGGCCATTGCTTTTGGGTTCAGCTCATTCATGGGTTGGTCTCTTGATCATTTTGGTTTTCACGCCCAGTTCTGCGGTTTCTCCAGGGAATGAACCTAACCTGGTTGGCCACCTTGCGGGTCGGTGACCTTCAGTATGTGGCCACCATCCACCCTCTAGAGAAAGTCATCTCAAGCTCCCAGCCCCTGCTTTGTGGGAGCGTGGATGAAGATTTAGTTCTCCAAACCTCCTGAGAACCACAATCTTCAAAGTGGGGTAACAAAAGTGGATTTCCCTGTGAGTGGCGCGGTGGCCTGGAGGGGGAGCTCTCTCCTCATAATCGGGGGGGGGGCTGTTGAGTTCGATCCTAGGTAGAGGCAGATATTTCTCTCTCTGGGCACGTGGAGAATATATCTGCGGAATATAACTCCGCATTGGCAACAGGAATGGCATCTGGCCAGTACACACTTTGGTAGCTCCATTCAGCTGCCTAGACTCCATCCCAGAAGAGATTATGGGGTCGCTAAAAGGAAATGATGATAATGATGGATTTCCCTATGTGTACCCCAAGTTTTTTGTTAGAACAAACTGGAATGTTGATATTGCCAGATAAAGCTTGGTGTGTGGCACGCAGTGTGTTTCCTCATTTGTGATAACAATCTGGAGCAGGGGTACCCAATCCTTGGTCTGTGGATCAGAACCGGGCCACAGCATGGCAGAAACCGGTCCGCACCAACAGCAAAGCCCCCTCACCAGGATGTAGGCAGCATGCAAAATCACACCCTCTCCTGTCCATGGGGGAAAAAAACCTTTCTCCCTGGTGTCCAAAGGGGACCCACCTGGTTGAATATCAAAATAGTCCAGGTGGTTTTAAGGTGCATCAGAAAGTGGGAAGGAAGCCAGGATGCCAGCAGAGATCTGAACTGAAGAAGCTGGAGATGCACCTACTCTGCGCTTTAATATTTAGATGTTCTGTCCTTCATTAAACTTATTTATTAGATCAGTGGCCAGTTTTCCCTTCGGGAACTCAAGGTGACCTATGCAGTTCTCCTTCCTCTTGTTTTCCCCCCACACACATCAACAACCTTGTGAGACAAATTGGATGGAGAGACAAGGTCGGACCCAGAATCACCCAAAGGGATTCCTCAAGCTAGAAGATAGGTTTGAACTTCGATCTCTTTGGATCTGGCAACTGAAAAACCACATGGTATAAAAGCAGGATTCCTTCTGATCATCTCTAGGCTGTCCTTTTCAAAGAGGGGGGGAGCATAAAAACACCTTTGGTTGGTAGAGCGTTGATTTTGGATGTTGAAGGTCTTCAATAATTGTAATCTGTGGCTCTCTCGATGCTACATATTTTCATATATGGTGGACCTGCCAAAAGGTTAAGGCATTTTGGATAAAAATATGGCGGATTATGCAAAATAT